AGAAGAGATGGGTGCAGCAATATATTATGTGTGCCACTTTTCTATGGTTATTGTTGTTTTATCCTATACTATACTGCAGTGAAAATAGTCAGGGCCGGATTTTCCTATAGGCTAACTAGGCTTCAGCCTAGGGCCTCAAGATCAAGAGGGGCCTACATTCAAATTGTTAGCAAAATTAAAATTACAGTTTCACTATAGGTGAAAGGGCCTCATAAGTGGAATAGCCTAGGGCCTCTTTTCATCTAAATCCAGCCCTGAAAATAGTATAAAAAATCCATACAGAAATATTTATTAGATTTATATCCCACCTTTGTTTTGTACAAGTTAAGGCAGTGTGCATAATGGTCTCTTCCCATTTTCCCAAACAAAAGTTGGGTTGGGCTGAGACTGGCCGAAAGCCATTTATTCCGCTCCTACAACTAGAGGTTTACAGGCCAGTTTTTTAACTACTACACCACACTGAATGGTTCTTCCAAGACATACTCACTTTCTGCATTTCTGGACAATCCCTCATGCTTGCATGTGGATTAATATTATGTGTGCTGCAAGGGGCTGCCTTTGAAGACCATGTGAAAACGACTGTTGGTGCAAAATGTGGTAGCAAAGGGTATGCCACAGAATGTTAACTCCTTTGCTCTGAGTTACACTGAGTTATCAAGTGAAGTGTTAATACCACTTTATAATGCCTTGGTAAGGCCACACTTGGAATACTGCATTCAGTTTTGGTCGCAACGATGTAAAAAAAGATGTTGAGACTCTAGAAAGAGTGCAGAGAAGAGCAACAAAGATGATTAGGGGACTGGAGGCTAAAACATGAAGAATGGTTGCAGGAACTGGGTATGTCTAGTTTAATGAAAAGAAGGACTAGGGGAGACATGGTAGCAGTGTTCCAATATCTCAGGAGCTGCCACAAAGAAGAGGGAGTCAAGCTATTCTCCAAAGCACCTGAGGGCAGGGCAAGAAGCAATGGGTGGAAACTAAGGAGAGAAGCAACTTAGAACTAAGGAGAAATTTCCCGACAGAACCATCAGTGGAACAACTTGCTTCCAGAAGTTGTGAATACTCCAACACTGGAAGTTTTTAAGAAGATGTTGGATAACCATTTAAGTCTGAAGTGGTGTAGGGTTTCCTGCCTAAGCAGGGGGTTGGACTAGAAGATCTCCAAAGTCCCTTCCAACTCTGTTATTCTATTGTTCTATTCTATTGTGTTACACTGGCTGCCAATAGGCTCCCTGTTACAATGCAAGCTTCTGTTTATCATCTGTATCCATGTCATAGGGCCTGATTATCTAAGGGACAGTCTTGTCTCCTGTAGTGTCCTCCCATCCCATCCTATGCAAGAAAATGAACCTTCTGTGTTCTGGTGCCTGCCCTCTGGAATGGTAACTTTGCAGAGATTTATACTGTTCCTCCCCTGGTTTGTTCAAATGGATTCTTGTGGGAGAGCTGTGTTTAGGACAGTTGACTTAATTATTTCTACAAGTTCACTATTTTGCTTTTTTCCTTGTTGCTGTTAATTTGTCTTTAATATTGAACATTGTGCAGAATCACTAAGGAGTTGGCTGGCCTTACAGAAAGAAGAGGTTTAAATTAATGTAAGTAAAATATTTTAACGCCACTTAAAATGTATTACATAAAAGTATCTTTTAATAATATCACAAGAAGCTTAAGATGCTTTTTGCCTCCCCATGGAAAAGAAAGAGAAATAAACAGTATAAAAGATCAGTCTCACTCCCAAAGGCATTCTGGCAGTGAGCTTTATTCTTATTAACCCTTAGTGCTAAATGCATCAAGGTCTATAGAGAAGCCATGTTTGTTTCCTGTATTTTATTTATTTATTAAATTTGTATGCATATCTTCTCTGTAAAGTGACTTTGGGCAGTTTACAAGTTATAAAATGCGTAGAAAAATAGTATATTAAAAAAATTAAAACACAGGTTATGATTTTAAAAACTATACTAAAGCTGAACGTTCATGGGAAATTGGAAATGTACACACACTTTAATCACCTACAAATGTTTCCAGAAGACTTGTCCTTTCCGTTTACTCTGAAAATATCACTGCACAAATTTTAGATCTGTCCCTTAAATTACAGTCAGTTTCTGACAAAAGAAGTTTTTTTTAAAAAAAACCATATATATACCAATTTCAGATTCAAACTGATATGCAGTATTGGACCAATACTTATATTTATGAATGATAACCCACCCCAAGGTAATTATAAGATTTAAGAAACACCAATAATTAGAGTTAAAAGAAAAGCAGCTTTTTTTCCTCTGAAAGAAGCTAATATTTCGCTTTGGCCTTATATCAATCCCAACTGTAATCTGGAATGGAGAAGAAAGCTCTTATTCATTGAATTGCTTTCATTTGACTCGATTCCCTAAACATTTTCCATGATTTACAATTTCAGGGCTTTTCCTGAAAAAGAAAAGCATAAACACCACATGGTTTAACATAACATGCACTTTGAAATGTGAGTAGGCCTATGTTCTTACATCAACATTCCATTCTCCAGTGCCATTGCTTGCCTGCAGTAAATAAGGGAGTCAGAATTTCTTATAGCCTCAAGTCTGTTAAAATACATGCGGTTCTACTTTTTCCCTAGAGTCAAAGATGGCCTGAGTATATCCTAGCCAGTTTCCACATCTATAGCAGCCTTGTATTTAAGTAAAATATTTTTCCCACCTAAAGATGTAGGGTTCTCTTAAGAAAAGCCAAAGGAAACAGAAAGGCTCTATTGCTTCCAGTAAAATTTTTCAAAAGATCCCTTTAATATAAAGTATACCATGGGCAGTTCTATTTTGTGAATAAAGTTATCATATTAATAAAATAGTGTACATCAGGGGTGAAATCCAGCAGGTTCTAACAGGTTCTGGAGAACTGGTAGTGGAAATTTTGAGTAGTTCGGAGAACTGGCAAATGTCACCTCTAACTGGCCCCAGAGAGGGGTGGGAATGGAGATTTTGCAATATCCTTCCCCTGCCACGTCCACCAAACTGGTAGGGAAAAAAATTTGGATTTCACTCCTAGTGTACATTGATCAAAATGACCAAATAACCTTGCATAGAAAGTGATGTAAATAGTGTGAATTTTCTACCATTCTAAACTAGTTAAAATAGTTCTGTTTATTATCTACACTGGGAGAACATATTGTCCACTAAATGATGTTGAACTATATCTCTCTGCAACCTAGCATGGCCAGTGCTGAGGAATGCTGGGAAATATAGTTCAACCCAGTGGTGAAATGTAAAATTTGTTACTACCCGTTCTGTGGGCGTGGCTGGGTAGGGGGGTAATTTGACTGGGTTAAAACATGGTTGTTAAAACATATAGGATATTGATATGATAGTTGGAAAATCTGAAGAGGTTGCAAAAAAAAATGCTTTTAGAAGCCTCTGTCTCCTCAATTTTACAAGAGATTATTTTACCAGCGTTCATTTCACTTCATTGGCTATTAATTTTCAGTGAAAACTTTTGTTGTGGAAATTAAAGTTCACTTTGCCCATTGCTAAAGTTTTATTACAAGAGATCAAGATGCTAGTGTTTTCTAGTTGGGTTTTTTGTTGACTTTACCTTGAGACTTTCACTAAGGCAACTTTTCTTATTTAAGAAAAGGGAGCTAAGCCACAACCTTGGAAACTCTTTCGCAATTAGAGGAATGTATGAAATGTCTGAGGAGGAGTCAGGTTAATTAAATGGAACAGTTCCCAAGAAACCCTGAATGAATGTAAATACATACCTGATTGTCAAGCCAAAGGCTCAGCTTGCTAGTTCGCAAAAATCAGGCAAATTGTTCAGCTCAGAGCCTTAGGAAGTACAGTAACCTATTCCACTTGAGAGATCAACTACATTGGCTGACTTCTGCAGAGCAAGTCTTCTAAATGGTCCTATATCTTAAAAGTGACTCACACATAGAAATTTACACGTCCAAAATGTTTTTTCCATACTGGGATTCCCATGCATTGCATTTTCCTTGTTAAAACATATAGGATATTGATATGACAGTTGGAAATCCCAAATATGGTTTTACTTTAGCACAAGAAGGATCACATTCTTAAGAGTTGCATCAAAATGCAGCAGATTTTCTCTAATGCTAAGTTCGTTCTGGCTGATTTTTATGATGGTATGGCAAGTATGCAAACATCAGAAACCATAGCTAAAACAGAATGCTATAAAAAGAGCATCGGTCTCCAATCAGTTTTCTGTTCATTGAAGTACAGTGTTTCTGCAGCTGAGAAGTAGGCACGAATCCCAAATTTGTTACATTTTACTGAGCAATTCCTTGACAATAGTCAGTGGTTAAAAACAGTATGTACATCAATATCTTTTTGAAGACCAGGTCTCTCACTTGGCATTTTATGCTTTTGTGAGCTCTTGCTTCTATAGAAACACAGTATTAATTAGACCAGGAATCTTTAACTGGAATCTATAGATCAGTGATTAGATTTCAGTTGATCTATTAAAAAATTTACCTTATTTTTCCTATGCCCTACCTGAAATTTAGGTTTTACAAGTAAGCAACAAAGTGATATATAAACTCTAGTTTCCAAAAATATTTGTGAACTGCAAAAAGATTGTTACCTTAAATTATAACTTTAAGGTTGTAGGTAATCCTCAATTTACAACCATTCATTTAGCAACCGTTTGCAATTGCAATGACACTGAAGAGTGACTTATGATCCAGTCCTTACACTTTCAACCATTCCAGCATTGCAACGGTCATGTGATCAAAATTTGGGTGTTTTGGCAACCAGCATGTATTTATGATGGTTGCAGCATCTCCAGGTCATGTGATCGCTGTTTGCAATCTTCCCAGCTGCCTTCTAACCAAAAAAAATCAATGGGGAGAAGTCAGATTTACATACAACCATGTGTTTCACTTATCAATTTTAGCGATTCACTGATCAGCTGTGGCAAAAAAGATTGTATAATTGGGCAGAACTCAACCACAATTGTTATTAATAGATTGTTGATAAGTCAATAAAGAATCCCATACATTACTGTATCACATATTTATTAAATATTTTGGTAACTGTATTTGAGCATTACAACATAGAATTGGTCAAGCGAATGCTAACAAAATCTATTCACTTATAATCAGTGAATTGTAATTTATAATCAGTTATTGGAGATCTTCAGTAGTGTGAAATAAATTATGACAATGATTTATTGCATGTGCATGGATATTTTTGGAAGACATCCATTGTTCTTAACTGAAGCAGGCGTACCATCATATGTAAGAACCTACCAAGTCAGATGTCAGAGAATTCATTCACATGCTAAATGAATCCAACGTGTGAGATAGCCCAATCAATGTCTTGCTGAATCTTGAAGATAAGTCAGGACCCATTGCTAAGGTCCAGTTGCATAGCTAAACTATGGTTTTCAGTAATGTTTTGGGATCATGCTAAGCTAGATGTCTCAACATCAGCCTCTCTAAACACCTACTGGAAACTCCAAATTGAGAGTAGAGCCAAGATCATCCAGTAGGGAAGATGAAGTTTGAAAAAAAGTCCAGGGACAAAAAAGTGAACGAAAGAACGTAAGATTGTACTACAGTAGAAATATTTACCTGCAGCAAAAATATTTAAGTAGGGTAACTTTAGGAAAATCACAGGCATTGTGGGATAAATCCTACAACAGTGTTTCCGAACCTTAGCAAATTTAAGATATGTGGACTTCAACTCCCAGGCTTTAACTTTCTATGGCTGGCTGGGGAATTCTGGGAGTTGAAGTCCACATATCTTAAAATTATCAAGGTTGGGAAACATTGATCTACAGAAACTCATTTTACCTGTGGTCAGATGACAGCAGTTCCTATACTCAAAAGAGGAAGATGGGACATAGATCCAAAATGGAGTGAACAGGCAAACTCATGATAAATAATCCTTAAGAAACTTCATCCCCCACATATTATCTCTGTAATATAATTGAAATTGCATATTTTTAATCATTATCTTAATGGCAAATTTCTAAATAATTGTTCATCCTACTTGGTTGATTGATGGGCCAGGTAGCATTTTGTAGTCTTTAAAATATTTTCACTTTTGTTTACAACTTTGCCTATCAGGCTATAAGGCTACGTGGGGATGACCAATAAATAAATAAATAAATAAAATTCTCAGCACTGGTCACCAATGCTGGCCAAGAAAACCTGATGGGATTTCACCTTGATGTCAATAAGAACCCAACTCAACTTGGAGATTTTGTCTTCTCCTTTTTTAAAATTAACCCCTAAGAAATAAAACATGTAAAAACCCAGTCGTATAGAAATATAATTTGACATAAAATATTGCAGTTGGCAAAATTCTATCCAGTACAGTTTTAATTATGGGCTATTTTGGAACACTTGGATGTTCAGCAGGAAACTGAAGTCCTATTTTGTACCTCATGCCATCTCCAAAAATTGTTTCCAAGCCAGCCTCGGGAAAGACACCAGAAAAGAAAAAGAATTCTAGCTGTAAAAAGAAGCACTCATTATGCCTGTTCTAGATCTTGTTTGTTCTGCTGCTTAGATTTATTAAGAACTGAAATATGTTAACTCCTCCCCTTTTGAAGAGTTTAATGCAGTTAGCATAAAAACAAGACTTAAAAAGGACACATTTTTTCAATTTGGAAGATTCAAAAATTTCTAGTAGCAAAACGAATGGTAGGAACTATCATGAATTAACAATTCTACTTATTTGTTTTGTTCTCCCTTTATGGAAAAGTGACAAATGATCTGGCAAGCAGCAAACATATATGCCATCAAGTTATATTAAAATGAACACAAACAGGCATACATTTTATTTCCTTGAGAATATTTTAACTGGGAGGCTTCTGCTACATTTCTGTAGACAAAACATCTATACAAAACTGAATACAGTCTATCCAAAAAATTAAGCTTAGAAAAGAACAACTTCCATGTGTTTTATGTATATATGTATATGTAAATATTGCTGGTACAGTTTTTTAAAAAAAGAGGCAGAATTCAGTAATTTGACCAGAGAGATATAAATATACTTCAAATTCCCATTTCATAATCTCATAACTTTCCCTTAATCGGAGATCTCTTCCACCATGACCACTTAGTTTTGTCTCCTTACTCTCCTCAAAATTGTCCATTTTCCACTAAGGAAAGTATCTTAGTGGCTACACAAACTAAGGATCAAGATTATTTGATTTCTAATAGAATTCTTTAAAGGATACAGAGGAGAGGTGAACAGAGTGTAAGTCTTTCAGTTATAAGCTGAAGGATCTTGTTTCATGCCTAAAATCCTGTGGCCTTTTGCAAGAGAATTTTTCTAATAGAACTTAGGAACTTTAGGAAAAAAAATAGAATTAAGAAAGCTCAGGGGACACCATCAGCTAGAAAATCACCCTACAAGCTTTGTTTAAAAACAAAAAAGGGGTATCTTATTTTCCATCTCTTGTCTGCCAATTTAATCAAATAAGATGTGTACCATAAAAAGAACACTGCATGTTAGTGTCTGCGTTGTTGTAGCATTTTGTGTCGTAAATGCTCTTCCAGACACTGAATTGCAAAAGGATCAACGTCAGTATCAAATTTGTTGGCAAAAAAATGATGTTTCCGTAACATCCAGCTCAAATCTCCGACTCCAAAGACACATACAGAACGGACGTGAATTCCATTGCAAGGTGGGTAAGGAGCACCCTTGGATACATCCCCTTCAAAGTAATGCCACTTCACAAACCGGGCAACGGCATTCATATCAGAAACATCATATTTGTCACTGGCAGAGACTGCACCAGGAACTTCAGGGATTCGCTGAATTGTAGCCCATAAGTATTCATCAGGACTGTACGTGTCTTTAGCCCATTCTATAAAAGCAAGAATTTTGCTATTCTCTAATACATATTCCACAAATTTCCTATTAACAACAAAATAGGCACTTCCAGAGAAAATGGGTGTGTTGAGAGGTGGATGCTGCTTGTCTATCCCCATATTTTTTACCTTGCCATCAACTACTTCATGATGTTTCTTCCATCTCACCTCTTTGTTTGAAGGCATTTTTTCTGTTTCTAAACTATTTTCACCATTAAGGGCTTTCAACTTCTCCACAATTTCTTGATTGGTCTTGATTGGGAAATCCGTGCCGCAGAGATTGATCAAGTACTTCCAGCTCACATTCCTCCTGTAGAGATCCTTCATGCAGTTGAGATCAGCTTGTACCCGGCTCCATGATGCATACACTACACTTTCCAATTGGCTGGCAATGAAGACATTGTGAAAACATGATGCAATCCCTTTTACTGCTGCCAAGAAAGACTCCGGGGACTTTTTATCAATATGAATGCAGTAATAGTTTTGAGGAGCGTATATGGTTCTCAGAAGTCTCTCAAGCATATTAATTTTATGATAAGCCACTATTGAATATGCAATGGGAAATTCTGCTGCTTCTTGGCTAAGAGGTTCCATAATATATTTCCGCCTTTTAATAAAGGAGGCACAATCAATTGTCATGTCGATATAGTCATTTGGAGTCATTTTGGGGGTTTTCCTAAAGGAGACTGTTAACAGCTCAAGCTTTACTTTTTGAATTTCCTCTGTGTCACCCTCTAGTATCTTGGAACAGTTTACTGTATTGGGATGTTCACCAGTCAGTTCCAAATGCTCATCATCTTGGTAGGTTGGTTTCTGGTGAACCATAATATAAGACCAGATTCCAACTGTACAAACTAACACCCAAAGAGGCTTAAATCGTAGGATACCACAGTGACGAAGTTTCCTCCTTAGCATTTCAGACAACATTTGGAACCTTTCAGACATTTAAGGAACTTTCCCTGTACACATGATTAAGTTCCAGCTGTGCGCAGTTCTGTGTGCATTTCTCTTTGATAGGTTCCTATAAATGAAAAGGAAGATACGGTCAGGGAGAACCAGCTCTTTTGTCTATAATTTGCTGTAAATTTATCTTGTCATTTAGTTGAAAGAAGACACAGAAATAACAATAGCACTTATATACTGTTCTATAGAGTTCTTTTACAGCACTCTCTGAGCTGTTCACGATGTCCACATACTGTCAACAACAATCTGGGTCCTTGTTTTACCAACCTCAGAAGATATATTTCATAACATACATTAGACAGACTAATGCTTGATCATTAACATTTAACCATATAGTTATGGTATGTACACTGACAAGACACACAAATTCAAACCTATATTTAAGCTTGCTGTTCATAACTTTGCTTTACATTTCTGGTATCCCCTTTAAGAGGAAAAAAAGAGAAAGTAGTAAGCAAAAGAAACTGAAGGTGGAAGATAATACAAAAAATGGGGAACGTATCTAAAATCAGTATAGGTAAAGTTTCACCTCGCACATATGTGCTAGTCATTCCTGATTCTAGGGGGCGGTGCTCATCTCCATTTCAAAGCTGAAGAGCCAGCGGTGTACGAAGACGTCTCCGTGGTCATATGGCCAGCATGACTAAACGCCAAAGGCGCACGGAACGCTGTTACCTTCCCACCAAAGGTGGTCCCTATTTTTTTGCATTTTTTTACGTGCTTTCGAACTGCTAGGTTGGCAGAAGCTGGGACAAGTAACGGGAGCTCACCCCATTATGCGGCACTAGGGATTCGAAGTGCTGACCTTTCGATCGACAAACTCAGCGTCTTAGCTACTGAGCCACCACGTCAGTATACAGTCACACAATTCTCCATACCTTTCTAAGCTTGCAAACCATCCTTGCTTCCATTGTATCTGTGCAATTTCATGTATTTCCTTTTTTTTCTTTAAACTCTCTTTCTGAGGAGCACCAACTCCTTCCAAATACATCCATGGACCATCATTCTCTTGTGAGATTCGCTAGCGACCGGCAGATTTCCAGGTGCAATTTAAGATACTGATTGTCCCCTGAAAAGTTCTTCAAAGCCAGGATATTTGAGGAAGGACCTATCTTCTTATTGGGTGATTCCTTATCACCCAATAAGAAGGTTCAACATGTTGCAGGTTCTGCCCATTAAATAGCCATCTGAATGGAGCCAAGAAGCATGTCTCCCTGACACTGTGCTTGTCATTTGGAAAAGAACCCTCTCCATCATACAAATAGAACAAAATAAATGTAATGAACATTTTATTTTCTTGGCTTTTCCCTATTTTTATTTCATATATTGATTTCATCACCCAAGCTTCATGCATCCTCTCTATATCAACAAACCATTCTAATGTATTTATTTCACTCATATCTGTGCCCTGTCTATAACGGTATAAAGATTTGATTGATAAATCACTCATATTGGTTTTCAACCGACCTTAGTTCAGCATCCATTCATTTTTGCATTAGCATAAACTCCTCCTAAGTATTCCATACCTACTATATGCAACTTTACTTGGATATTTCTTCTAACATACACATCTCTTATTTCTATAGAAGAAAGTGGGCAGTCATGCGGTTAATACACAGCCATTTTCTACTTCTTTCCTTTTTCACAACAGACTGCATACCCATTTCTATAATCACATTTGCATGCCTTACAGTTTATCCATCTATTTCCAATCTTGCCTCAAAGTTTACTCTAACAGGTTGGATTAATTTAAGAGGTCCAAGGATATTATGTAAACTTATTTGAAGGAAGTAATAGAGTTGGTCTTGTTCTATTTATTTAACTTAGCTTTCTGTTTGCTAAGCTCATTTTCCAAAACATCTGACCAGTGCTTGGTTAGAGAAGACCATTCTAACTAGAGTCCCTACATTCTTAAACATTGTAATTCTTGGGGAAAGGAGGTAAGATTTAAATAAACCATTTCAATACAGATGGCTTTCTGAATAAAACTCTCTTCTTCCAAAAACAATTTAACAAGCTTATAGCTTCTCAGAATGAATAATCTATCAAGGCTACATGGTTTATAGGAAGAATGATAACTGTAAAACTTGCCTTCCAAAATTGTAAGCACATAGCTAGAACTTTAAATCTTATTTCTAAATTTTAAAAATGTATAATGTGTGCAGATGTTAATAACATACCTGGGGTTGATTTACTTTTAAATGATTTGCATTTAAAACAATATTAGAATTAAAAGAAGTTTTTTTTTTTTTTTTAAATGGAGATAACAACAACATTGGCTATGTGGGATGGGAATCCTGACACATCTGAAGAGCACCAAATTGAGAATGCTTGTGTCAATTTGTTGCATTTAACTCTTCTTTAAAAGTTGCTTTATTTAACTGGTATTCAGTGGTTAATATTTTATGGCTAACAGCATGACTAACATTTTATGGAAGAAATCTGGAGGTGTGTGAAAACTTTACCTAAGTAAATTTTTATTCTAAAATATAAATATTTAGGACAAATATTGTCTATCAGTTTTTAGCAGCAAGAAAAAGACCCACCCTGAACAGAAAGCCTAATGTGATAATATAATGATAATGCAAAAATAATATATAAAATAGCAATAAGACTTATATACAACTTGATAGTGCTTTATAGCACTCTCTAAGCAGTTTACAGAGTCAGCTTATTTTACTGACCTCGGAAGGATGGAAGGCTGAGTCAACCTTGAGACGAGAATTGAACTGCTAGCAGTCAGCAGAATTAGCTTGCAATACTGCATTCTAACCACTGCGCCACCACAGCTCCTAAAAGTCTCATTTCTGTTTCCAGCCAAACATTATAAAGTTATAAATTGGTCCCATATTATCTTAAAGTTCTGAAAAAGGCATTATAATTGTACCCGCTTAATTGATTGTCCTGTATTAAACAGAATAGCCATAGGGGAGTAATGGATAGGATCAGAAAGGCAATGTATTGAGAATAGAGATTCATATTTTCTCTCCCTGTATTATAATCATAATAAAACTATTGCTAAACCTAAATAGCAATTCCTTCCTGGAATCAGTTACACAAGATGTTTTTGTGGGATGAAAGATTCTGTGATTGTGCAATTGTGAAACTACATTTTAACACATCACTCCATTCGGCTTTTAACTTATTCAAACAGAGCCCTTTTTTCTCCTATAGGTTAGATAAACATGGTGGATTCTTAAGCCAGGAGATTTTTTTTTCAGCATGCAGACTTTCACAAAGACTCCCTTTTACACTAGGTTTGTAGACTATATTTTTACATGTCACAGTAAAAAGCTTACAGAGTGTAAGCCACAGTAGCAATGTTCACACATAATGGGAAAGTCACAAGTAACCCAAACCAGCTCTCACAACACTAGTACTGTGTTTCCCCCAAAATAAGACCCTGTCTTATATTTTTTTTGAACCCTGAAACAAGCGCTTGGCCTTATTGCCATGCACTCAAAAGCCCAATTGGGATTATCAGGGGATGTTTTATTTTGGGGGAAACAGGGTAGTCATGTACAAAGATATCAAGATCAAGACTGAAGAGAAAGGTATTTGTAAAACCTACCCTCTTCTATTAAATAATGAAAATAATGAGCAATCCACCTCCCAGTACTGATGAAAAAACTAAGGGAAGAGGAAAAATTGGATTCAGAGTAGAAACCCAGCAGTTCTTAAAACTGGTTAACAGCCCTCTTTGAAAATTCCTGCAGAATTGGCATAAAGCTGTGAAAAAATAAATGAAATAAAGTGAGGCACTCAGTTTCATACCTTTAAATATTACCCTAGAATACTAGAAAATATTAGAAAACTGTTATTGCCAATCAGCTTTATTGAACATATTTATGTAAAATACAGAGGAAATTATTTGGTAAACAGTTGGTCCCCAACAATATCTACTTGCATTTTTAATGAAGTCCCATAGCACTATTCCAATAAAAGGATTGGACAAAAGCAGATTAGCTAAAAATATTACAGCATTTTACAGCATTTTTCTCTAACTTGGATGAGTTGTTGTCCATAAATTCTGGGGATCGTATCACTACTGGATGAGTACCCAGTTAGGAAAAACTGCAGACGACTAAGTAGCTAGCTTAACTGCTACGTCTCATGAAAAGAGAGATATGAAATATAAGAACAGCATTCCTCGGATGTGAAACACTGTTTTTAATGAATTACTTAGCAAGGACAATAGACTGACAACATCCGGTTATATAAAGCAAAACTATTAATGCCACAATTAATCATAATCACAGGGATATCCTGTGACGCTATACCAAACTTGAAGATATCAAATGAAGTTTGGGAAAGGAAAACCGAGTGCTCTTTCTCAAAAGGTGGTTTTAAACAGAATGCTCAAAACATCCCTTACGTATAAATAATCCCTAATCCGTATAAGTAGCATCTTCCCCCTATTATAAACGATTACATAATCACTTCTCTTCTATAATGCCTCATCCCCATAACCCTGGTTAAGAACTACCAAAACCAGAATGCTCAGTGCTGAAGTTCCACTCCTCATATAATCTCTCAAGTGGCATCAATCTCTTCGCAGCATTTAGTGGTAATGACTCTAGGGAGAAAGCCTACAACATACAAATAGATCATGGTCACGTGATCAATTTCGGACTCTTGGCAACTGTCTCATATTTATGGCAGTTGCAGTGTCCTGGATCATGCAAGCTTCTTTTGCAAGCTTCTAATAAGCAAAGACAATGGGGAAGCCAGAATCACTTACCAACCGTGTTACTAACTGTAGTAATTCACTTCACATATGTGGCAAGAAAAGTCGTAAAATGGGGAAAAACTCACTTAACAACTATCTTGCTGAACAAGAGAAATCATGGGCTCAGTTATGGTCATAAGTCAAAAGCTACCTGTATTCAGTGCTGAAAGTATCGGCTTTCACACCTGTGGACTCCTGAATTAGCTTTTGTCTTATCTCATGTAGAAGCTAATACAGCTTTTCTCCTAAAGATGTTCATGGGGATGTGACATCTCAACAAGGAAACTACATTGTTCAAACATTGTTGGCGGGTGGTAAGCACTATCCAA